CCACTCACCTTCTCTCCGGCGTGGATCCTGACAGACACACCGCGCACAGCCAGCGGGAGCTCAGGCCGGTACCGCAGCCCGAAGTCCCGGAACTCCACCTGCCCTGCGTGAGGCCAGGGCGGCTGGGCTGCGCAGGTGGGCAGCTTCCAGGGAGCCTAGGTTGGAAGGGAAACTGAATCAGGGTAGTTTTCCTCTTTCTTACTAGATGGCCTGTGTCTCTGAGCCTCCGTTTCCTCTCCGGTAAAACAGGTATTTCCAAAGAATGGGGTGTCTGATAGAGCTCGCAGGCACAGTGGATTGGGCATCGGGCTGCTAACTACAACGTCAGGAGTTTGAATCCATAAGTCGCTCCATGGGGACAAGAGGCGGCTCTCTGTTCCCACAGAGAGTCACAGCCTCAGAGACCCAGAGGGGGTGGCTCTCCTCTGTCCCATCGATCGGGTTGCTGGGAGTCGGAACCAACTTGCTGGCCGTGAGTCTGGAGTGCGGATATTATCAAAATAATGACAGGCATGGCTCCCTCTTCTCTTGTATTATAACAACCAACTGCTGCTTGGGGTCAAGTCCTGATGTCTCTCGTGAAGAGACTTCCTTCCAGTCGATCTCCAGCGCTCACTGAACGAGGAAGACTGGAGTTTTTCAGGGGAATATCGTGAAAGTACCAGGGACTGCTAAAAGGATAAACCGACGGCCTGTCTTGGAAGCAGTAAGGCCAGAGTGCTCCTTAGAGGCCGGGATGGCGAGACTTCTCCTTACATAGTTTGGACATGTGGTCTGGCGAAGGGCATCATGTTGGTAACGTGGAAGGCGGTGAGAAAGAGGCAGGCCCGTGACGAGATGGATTAGCACGTATCTGCATCGATGGCGTGGGCATGGGAACAGCTGTGGGGATGGCGCAGTGCTGTGGGTAAGAGCCCACTTGAGGGCACCCCTCCCAGGCAAGCCTGGGAGGAATACAGGGGGCTCAACAAGTTGGTGGGAAAACAGAATTTAAAAGTAACAGAAGTTTTCCACAAACATTGTGAAGCCCTTTCGTCCTGCCGTTCGCAATCCCTGTGACCTCCGACAGGTCAGTCCGTGTCCGTAAGCCTTGTACTGTCTGTCTGTGAAATGGGGCTAGCGAGGGCGGTGGACACGCATGGAGTGGCTCCTGTGGGCCGGGTGCTGTGCTAAGACCATGTGAGTGGGAGTCTCGTTCGCTCCCACCGGAGGACCCCAACCTGTCTGGTTACAGGAGCCTAGGGGCTGCTCTGTACGCTCTGAAGAGGTCTTCCTGACTCAGTGAGGGAGCCCGTGCGATGCCAGTGGGCTTGGAGTTGTGGTTGTGGTTAGGTTTGTGTTGTGATTGTGTTGTGTTTGGAGTTGGGCTTGGGTTGGTTTGGGTTGTGGTTGTGGTTGGAGTTGGGTTTGGATTGTGGTTGTGACTGTGTTTGGGGTTGGGTTGTGGTTGTGTTTGGGGTGGGTTGTATTGGGGGTTGTGTTGTGTTGTGTTTGGGGTTGTGGTTGTGTTGG